ATGAGGATTTTTGTTTTCTTAAAGGGTAAAAACCTTTAAAAATCAGCCTAGTTATAGAAAATTATTACTGTTTAATAATCACTGATCTTTAATATTCCATTTCATTTATTATAGGCAACTTCAAAAGATGGTCCATGATATTAAGAACAATGAAGGTGGAATAATGAACAAAATTAAAAAGTAAGTTAAACTCCAGCACACTAGCTAATCTTCTTATAGTAGGCTGTGCTAATTGGAAGTAAAGAAAGTCCCAGCACTTGTACTTGAATGAGGGATGGCAACCTCTCCCATAACTAGTGACCATGAAGATTAGCTCTATAGCCAGGGAATGTGGAAAGTTAGTGAAATGATGCTCAAACATGTTGCTTTTCTTCTCAGTGTAGCAAAGGTGAGATATGGCCCTTCAAGGTGCCAGAAAACTGCACAGCAGGAAAATTCGCTTATGTTACATTTTAGCTAAGTCACAAGGACACACTTGGAGACATTCAGATGAGTTGTTAACACCGCACTCCTAGCTTCTACCGTCTGTAGGATGCCATGCCATTTTTCATTTATATTTCTGCTGTCTCAATGATTGTCGTAAAATGATATTTATTCACAGATATTTGAAAAAGGAAAACTAGAATCCAAAATTTTCCTGTATTTCAAAAATCTCTTTAAGTTCTTTTTTCCCCTAAAGCAAACAGAATCCAAATATAAGTCAAGAGAAAAGGAAAAAAAAATTTAATTATTTTTATTGTTTAATAAAACAAATGTATATATATATATTCACAGAAGCCCTGCTGGTATAGTGGTTGTTTGACTTCTAACCAAAGGTGGTGAGAACCCACACAGATCTTCAAGGAAAAAAAAGCCTACCAATCCACTCTCATAAAAATCACAGCCTAGAAACCTCTAAAAGAGAGTTCTGCTCTGTCAAGTGAGGTCACTATGCATTGGAATCAATTCCATAGAACCTAACAGCAACAAACATGAAAGGGTGGATGCAACCAAAGCAATACATGCTCACGAGGAAGGAGAAAGAAAAAAAAAAAAAGCTTAGCTTTGTACAAAGTCAAAATCTTCTTCTATTCCTCGTCTTCCACCCTGGTTACCCAATCCTCTCCAGAAGTTGCCATTATGAATTGTCAAGAGCCAATGTGTATAAACATATATATTATACACACATCACAACACCCCTGCCCTCCAAAAAACCAAAACCCAATGACTGACCCAGAGGATTTCCAATGCTGCGATGTTTAGGAGGCTGCTGCATCAGTCTCCCAGAGAAATCTCCAGCCTCTTGATTAGTAACTAAGTACTTAATCACTGTTCAATGAGGATGTATCACATGCATACACGGAATATCACATAGACCAATGAAAATACAGTAGTGTACAGGTACACACTCACGTGTTTTCATGAATGACATCATACTCAAAGCACTTTTCTACCAACTTGCTTGCTTTGCTTTTTGAGTTTTTCTTTTAAAAAAATTTCTTTGTCAAAGTTTACAAGACATATTGTGTTTTCATTCAGTCATTTGTAGACATTTTGTTTTATAACATTATTTCAAATGGATTAATGTAATTAGTTATACTATCAAACCCTTATTTTATATTGCCTTTCTTTATGTTTGCTTTGTTTTTTTTAATTGCTTAGTTTTATTTAATGTCATGTCATAGACATCTTTACTTATTATAAAAAAAGAAAGTTTACCTTATTTTCTTTTAAACTGCTAATGAATAGTCTACTGTAAATGTACTATAATTTTAATTTATTTAACTAGTTTTATAATGGCAGACAATTTTCTGAAGGCCTGAGACTTTAAGCTGGTACAATATTTATGGAGGGCAATTGTTGTTGTTAAGTGCCATTGAGCCGTAGACGACTCATAGTGACCCTATGAACAAAAGACATGAACACTTGTATAACTTTCATCATTTCTCCACGTTCATAGTTTCTGGAGGCAAGCTATTTCGGAAGAAGAGGGAAATTAGATAATTATAATAAATTCTTTTTTACATTTCTTCCAGTGCTTTTAGAAAACACAAATAATACTGCAATATTCTTGCACATCAACAAACTAAACCATTGAAATTAAAGTTAAAATAACTATAAAACCTCAGCCCACCAGCAGTCTCCTCCCATGTGATTAAGTGCCTCTGAAAACCCACCAGAGGGTCAGCTACAGGTCACTTCCAACTTGATGGTTCACAACAACATTGTCAGTCAATATATCAGAGACTGTGAAGGTGAAACAGAACAGAGCAAGGTTCAGATCTGTGGGTCACAGGGTTACTATGAGTCCTAGTCTACTTGACCACACCTCACAGTAACAATAAAATGATTCTTTTAAACAGTTAACCATTTCATGTTTAAATTTCATTTCTTACAGGAAGTTTCAAAATATGCCTCATGTTATTAAAAACAAATAACTTTGTGTATACCCTTTAGGTATTTGGGTTGACATTACCAAATTTCCCTCTATAAATTTTGTGCCACCTATGATATATACATTAACTTTCCCCATGCCTTTATCAAAGAATATTTTAACTTTTAAACTTTGCTAAATATATAAGTAAGAAAAAAACCATTTTGGTAATGTTTTCAGACTAGAAAATGTAAATGAGTTTCAAGATGTATAAGAGATGATCAGAAAAGAGTTTAAATGGTCTTCTAAAATGGTTGTGGTCTGGTGGTCATTTTATAGTTTAGAATACTTGAGTCTGCATATTCAATCTTGTGATTGGGAGAGGTGTGCATTTATTTTCATGTTAATGTTATTTACGTTTTCTGTAGGATCTCATTCAAAAGAGAGAACTCCAGCAGTCATTGTTAAAATCAGAAGCAATGCTGCACTGATTATCACACACTTGCCTATTTTATAGTATACCAGTTTGTTAAGTAGTATGGAACTTCTGTTTGGAAACTCTGTCTAATCCCTGATAGTCTCAGCAAATATGGCTCTCAAATTTTCTTGGGCAGTTTCTACCTCAAGCATTCTTCCCCTTGTCCCTAAAAGAACTTTTGCTTGACAAAACATGTTTTTTCTCGTTTGGAAGACATGGCTGCCCTAGTCATTTCTTTGCATCAAGTCAATGACTCTTCAGTTCAAAGTGTGGTTAAGCTCTTACTCAAAACCAGGCAACAGGTGCTTCTTGAAAGGAGGAAGCGTGGTTGAACACGCTGGTTTCCTAGTGCAAGACTGTGACCGAGTTTTCACTGGTCCATGGCCTAGTGAGAGAAAAAAAATGGACCCTGACATGTTAGGAGCTGGTATGCAGCTGCAACTCCTAGGCAAGCCTCAAACCACACATTTTATTCCTGGGTGGTGGTCAGTGGCCAACAGCTCTTTCTTGAGTGTGTCTTATATTCTGAGATATTCGGTTAAAATATCTATTCTTTTATAAAATATGGAAAGAGTAGATCATACAGGTAGTTCCCAACTACATTCCAACAACTCTGCCTTAAACCGGTTCTGATTTAAGTTGAATACCTCTTCTTTGGGGTCCCCCCCTTCATTATTATTGCCTTTTATAATCAGTAACTTTACAAATACTTATTTGTCTTTGGGAATTGACACATTACGAATAAACAGGCTCACCCACTGCCATCAAGTCGATTCCAATTAATGGTCATGCTCCTTTGGCTTTCCAAGTAAATCGTACAGGAGGAGACTGCCAATCTTGTCCCTGCGGAGCTTTAAACCACAGACCTTTCAGCACCTAATGAATTATACCACCAGGCTCCTTGCCAGATGTGTTTTAAATTTGCAGATGTATTTTATACATATACACATGTCACTAGCAAGAAATTCTAAAAAAAGAGCTTGTACCAAGTGTACTTCATGGTAACTGGAATATCATAAGTTGGGATAATCTTTGTTTGCACTTTTTAAAATTCCTGGGCACCAGACTCATTTTTGTTTTTGTTTGTATTCCTTACAACACCTTGACCATCTCTGCTTATATCTCGTTGTGTAACAGCTCTGCTTATACCTCACTGTGGGTGTAATGATAGTATCTTCCCAACACATCCTGCTGCTTGCTATGAGAAGTAAATGAAATAAAAATACGGAGCTTTGGGGCAATATAAAGCAGAAACTCTATTAAGAAAAATCAACCCAAAACACTTTCAAATTCATTGCCATCAAATCATAACTGACTCATAGCTGACCCTCCAGTCAGAGACTGTAAATCTCATGGGAGGAGATAGCACATCTTTCTTTCATTAAGCAACTGGTGAATTTGAACCTCTGATCTTTGGTTTGACAGTGCAACTCCCTACTGAGTAGGCCACCAGAACGCTGAGACTTTCTATAAAATATTGTTATTTTTTAAAGATTACAGTCCTAGATTTTGCAATCTTGTAAGAGTTTCTATGCTGCGTTCTCTTCCTTAAGAAATGAAATATATTTTATATATAATGATCATTTTATATACTGTTTCTATAGAACAGTCATTGAATATAGAGTTTATATTTTAAATTTCACTAAGCAAATACTTTTTTAAAAAATAAACAGTACAAATATTATTAAAAACAGAAATTTTCTAAAATTATTCCCCATTTAATATAATGGATGGAGAAATGGTGCTAGGACTTATGAAAGCCTTGGGCTACTCTTACATATTGTCTTATCTGTCTTTGAATGCAGAGGGGAAACATCCAATATATTTTACATGTGGATAAGGATATTAAATTCATGTTTACAGTCCTTGAAATAAAGATCTAAATAAACTAAACATTCAGTCCCCAAGCTGGAATGAATCACTGCTCATTTATTCAGCCTTTTTTCTTTTAATGGTACAAAATTGATTTCCACTCATGCTCAACTAAAATATTCTCTATAGCTAATTTTTTCTTGTTATTTAAAGCAGCTGTAAACTATTAAAATACAGTTTACCTTCCTGTCAACTGATTAATATTACCTCCCCTGCACTCTGAACTAAGAGACAACTCTTCTACTCTAAACCCCTTCATTGACTGACTTTGCCTTTGCCAGGTCTCAGTCACATCTTGTGCTGGAGAGATGAGAGGTGAAAAACCGCTAAATTAATGGTTTCACTACAGGTTATGACGTATTAATACTTTGAATGTGATAGATGTGCAAAAAAAGTTGTTATTCTGTTCATTGCCCACTTGTTTCTACCCACTCACTGTTCGTCTTAATGGTTATACCCAACAGGCTGAAAGGCAAAGCCCCTCCCAGCGTTCCTCAAAGGGACTATGCTTCAGGTAAGAGCATTTCCAAGATATGTTTACATTCGCTCTTTTGGGGAGGGAGGAAGAGTGTGAAAGTTTACAGAGCAAATGAATTTTTCATTCAACCATTTGTACACATTTTGTTTCATAACATTCATTCTAATTTCTGCAATGTAACAACATTCTTCCCACTTCCTTCTTGCGTTCCCCATTTCTAGTTGTCCTTCTCCACTACCTTTTCTTGTCTTCTAACCTTTGGTTTTGAGCATGTGCTGTCCTTTTGGTTTGGCATGGTTGACTTTTTGAGATGGCATTTGTTCCTCACATGTGTTCTTATTCACTTCATAGGCATCTCTCTTCTTTGGCTCTCTTTTGGCTAGGGTTGAGTTTGGCTTCAGGTCTGGAGAGTGTCAGTAAACCACAGGTTCGGGCTTTCCACTAGTCTCTATCAGAACAGCAAATCTAGTCTTTTTTCTTTTTTTTTTCTAGAAGAAAATTTTTATTAATGAAAAAGAATTTTTTAAAGTCTAGTCTCTATTATTTTGCTCACTGACTCAGATTACTTTCATTAACTCACCAGATCACAGAGGATTCATTGGCTTCTTTCTACCAATCAGCTAACAAGTCTAGACAGCTGGTAAGGGGATTCCTGGATATTTGGCATTAAAAATAGAGATTGTTTCTTGAGCTTTAAGATCTACTGTCAAATAAATCAAGAAAACTGTTCTTTTAACAAATGAGAACAAATATTCTTCTCCTCAACGTCTCAAAAAGAAAGGAAAGCAATGCAAACTAAACCTATTAAGCAATCAAATGGACTTGATGGGAGAATCATGGAGTGTCTGACTTAAGAACTTGAAAGGTCAAAGAGCTTAATCTCCAAATCCATTATTTAAAGCTTGCTATACCACGTGACTTCCTTCTGGGTGGTCCCAGCTGGCGGCGCCCAGGTCGGCAGCGTGAGTGTTGTCTGCGAAAGCCGGTTTCCAATTCAGCTCGTTTGCGAACAGCAAGGAGTGCGGACCATGTCACGACTGATCGTGAAGAACCTCCCGAATGGGATGAAGCAGGAGCGTTTCAAGCAGCTCTTCGCCGCCTTCGGCACACTGACAGACTGCAGCCTGAAGTTCACCAAAGATGGCAAGTTCCGCAAGTTTGGCTTCGTGGGCTTCAAGTCTGAGGAGGAGGCCCAAGCAGCCCTGCGCCATTTCAACAGGAGCTTTATCGACACAGCCCGGATCACGGTGGAGTTCTGCAAATCGTTTGGGGACCCGACAAAGCCCCGGGCGTGGAGCAAACATGCCCAGAAAGCAGGCCAGTGCCCAGCACCCTCCCAAGACCCTGTTCCCACGGAAGTGAAGCAGAGCAGGGAGGAGAAGAAGAAGGTCACTAGTGAACTGGAGCAGCTGAAGGAAGACACCGAGTTCCGGGAGTTCCTGTCAGTGCACCAGCGGCGCGCGCAGGTAGCCACGTGGGCCAACGATGCCCTGGCCGCCAAGCCCGAGCAGGGGAAGGGCCAGGCGGCGGGCGACTACCTCAACTTCGACTCAGACTCGGGAAAGGAGAGTGAGGAGGAGGGCCCCACTGAAGACCTGGATGGAGAAGAACTCACACCAAAGGCAGCCGTGCAGGAGGGGCTGTCAGACATGGATTACCTGAAGTCCAAGGTCGTGAAGGCCGAGCTGCTGTCTTCCGACGAGGAGGAGGAGGGTGAAGAGGAAGCCGTGAACTGTGAGGAGAGCAGTGAGGACGAGGGCCCAGCGCAGCCTGAGCTCGAGAGGACAGGGGCCGGCCATGGGCAGGGACAGGCGCTGCCACCGGAGGCCAAAGCCAAGGCAGAGGAGCCGGCCACCCAGAACGAGCCCACTACCCCCCACACCGTGAAGCTGCGGGGAGCTCCGTTCAATGTCACGGAGAAAAATGTTACGGAGTTTCTGGCACCGCTGAAACCAGTGGCCATTCGGATTGTGAGAAATGCTCACGGGAACAAAACAGGTTACATCTATGTGGATTTCAGCAGTGAGGAGGAGGTGAAGAAAGCGCTGAAGTGCAACCGGGAATACATGGGTGGACGCTACATAGAGGTGTTCAGGGAGAAGAGTGTTCCAGAGGGCAAGGGGCCCTTGAAGAACAATGCCAAGCCCTGGCAAGGCCGGACGCTCGGGGAGGACGAGGAGGAGGAGGACCTGGCTGACTCGGGACGGCTGTTCGTGCGAAACCTGCCCTACAGCAGCACCGAGGAGGACCTGGAGAAACTCTTCTCCAAATACGGTCCGCTAGCTGAGCTGCACTACCCCATCGACAGCCTGACCAAGAAGCCCAAGGGCTTCGCCTTCGTCACCTTCATGCTCCCCGAGCATGCAGTGAAGGCCTACGCCGAGGTGGACGGGCAAGTGTTCCAGGGCAGGATGCTCCACCTGCTGCCGTCCACCATCAAGAAGGAAGCCAGCGAGGACGCCCACACGCCGGGATCCTCTTCCTACAAGAAGCAGAAGGAGAACAAGGACAAGGCCAACAGCTCCAGCTCGCACAATTGGAACACGCTGTTCATGGGGCCGAATGCTGTGGCTGACGCCATTGCGCAGAAATACAGCGCCACCAAGAGCCAAGTGTTTGACCACGAAACGAAGGGCAGCGTGGCCGTCCGCGTGGCCCTGGGGGAGACCCAGCTCGTTCAGGAAGTGCGGCGCTTCCTCATCGACAATGGGGTTTGCCTGGACGCCTTCAGCCAGGCCGCCGCAGAACGGAGCAAGACCGTGATCCTGGTGAAGAACCTTCCGGCCGGGACGCTGGCGGCCGAGCTGCAGGAGCTGTTCGGCCCCTTCGGCAGCCTGGGCCGCGTGCTGCTGCCCGAAGGGGGCATCACTGCCATCGTGGAGTTCCTGGAGCCCTTGGAGGCCCGCAAGGCCTTCCGCCACCTGGCCTACTCCAAGTTTCACCACGTTCCCCTCTACCTGGAATGGGCTCCAATGGGTGTCTTCTCCAGCCCGGCCCCAACCCCAGCTCCACAGAAGAAAGAACCCAAGGACAAGGCTGCAGAGACAGACACGGCGGATGCAGAGACAGTACCAGACAGCGAGACCCCAGAAGGTGAAAAGCCAGCAGAAGGAGCAGCAGATGATACGTCAGTGGCAAAGATGGAAGAAGAGGAGGAAGACGAGGAGGAAGAGGAAGAGAGCCTTCCAGGGTGTACCTTGTTTATTAAAAACCTCAACTTCGACACGACAGAGGCGACGTTGAAGGAAGTGTTTTCCAAGGCAGGAATGGTGAAGAGCTGCTCCATCTCCAAGAAGAAGAGCAAAGCAGGAGCGCTGCTTTCCATGGGCTTCGGCTTTGTGGAGTACAGGAAGCCGGAGCACGCCCAGAAGGCGCTCAGGCAGCTCCAGGGTCAAATCGTGGACAGCCACAAGCTGGAAGTACGGATTTCAGAAAGAGCCATCAGGCCAGCCACAACATCCACGAGAAAGAAACAAGTGGCTAGAAAACAGACAACCTCCAAGATCCTGGTTCGAAACATCCCTTTCCAAGCTGACAGCCGGGAGATCCGGGAGCTTTTCAGCACCTTCGGTGAGCTGAAGACCGTGCGCCTGCCGAAGAAGATGACCGGGACGGGCACACACAGAGGGTTCGGCTTTGTTGACTTCCTCACCAAGCAGGATGCCAAGCGTGCCTTCAATGCCCTGTGCCACAGCACCCACCTTTACGGGCGCAGGCTGGTCCTGGAGTGGGCGGACAGCGAGGTGACCGTGCAGGCCCTGCGGCGGAAGACGGCCGAGCACTTTCACGAGCCCCCAAAGAAAAAGCAGTCTGTGGTGTTGGACGAGATCCTGGAGCAGCTGGAAGACAGCGACGACAGCGCGTAGCAAACCCTTCAGCTGCGAGCTGGCACCGCACTGGTCCTCTGACGCTGGTACTCCCAAGGGCCAGAATGAGCTTTGGGGGCAAAGGGGAGCTGCTGCCGTGGACCCCTCTGTGTGCCTGGACAGTTGATGCCGAGCTGCCCCCTGCCTCCTCAGACCCCTGCCCCCTGCCTCCTCGGACCCCAGCAGGATCCCGGGCCTTCTCCGCTGGAGCCTCACGCCGGCCAAGCTGCAGAAGGAGCTTGTGACTCCAGCCGGCAGGCCGGGCCTCGAGCGTTTGCGTGAAGTGTCCTCCCCTCAGCCTCGCAGCCCCTGATGGGAACTCTGGGTGCTCTTGTACCCCCACCCCCACCCCGTTCCTGGGAGATCTCCAGGCAATTCTTACTGCTTGTAAAAATTCCCCTTTTGTATGTACATAATATTTTTGTGTCTAAATAAACACAAACCAAAAAAAAAAAAGCTTACTATTCCATTATGTTCACAGAAGAAAGATGGACAGTCTCCTGTCCAATTAACTGCCACTGGAGGGTCAGCTATGGGCTGGTTCCACTCTTTGGTACACAACAACAACATTCCATCATTCATTTTGACAAATATTGCCTAGTGTCTGCCTAAGCACTTCCTGTGATGACTTCATAAGCCAGTCTGGTCAAGTCAAAGATAAACAGCCCTAGCTAGATAGGGAGAGGAGAGCAATCTTTTGAAACTTCCTTATTCTACCCCATTGGTTGCATAGTACAAGTCTTCAAACATTAAAGAAAGTGGAACTAGAGTGTTGCACAACTTTAAAAGATTGAAATCAGAAGTGGGGTCATCCAAATCCTTTCTTCTGCAGAATAAACATATCTGTAAGTGCTTCAACTATTCCACCCATATTCATTAATCCAAAAAGTATTCCATGAAGGGGAAGATAATAAACAAGAAAACAGATAAATTATAGAAATCCTCTCCAAGCCTGGTCATTATTATGAAGGGACAAGATCAGCCCAATGATAAACAATCATTAGGAAGTTGGGGATCCACTACAGTGATCAGGACAGGCTTCTTGAAGATACCAGCCTTTAATTCGAGTCTACAGAATGAGAAAAACTTTCATTATTTTGTCCATGGATCGATTCTGTGACTGGAGCAGTGGGAATAAGTGCGTTTGAGATGTCTAGGTTGGCTGAGGAT